TGGGGCAGCCACAGCTTCTCTGGGCAACCTGTGCCAGGCCCTCCCCACCGCGGGGGTCAGGGCGTGGTCCCCATGTCTGTCTGTCCCCGCAGGGTGTCCTTCTGCACCTTCCTGGCCCACGAGTACCCAGACCTGGTGCATAAGGTGATCATGATCAACGGCGGGGGCCCCACGGCGCTGGAGCCCAGCCTGTGCTCCATCTTCAACATGCCCACGTGTGTCCTGCACTGCCTGTCCCCCTGCCTGGCCTGGAGCTTCCTCAAGTGAGTGGCCCCGCTGGCGAGGGGCAGGGCTGGGGCAGGGGCGCCTCGTCCTTCCCCCTGTGCCCCCGAGGCCGGGCTGACCCCCAGCTCCCTCCCGCAGGGCCGGCTTTGCCCGCCAAGGTGCCAAAGAGAAGCAGCTGCTGAAGGAAGGCAATGCCTTCAACGTCTCGTCCTTCGTGCTGCGGGCCATGATGAGCGGGCAGTACTGGCCCGAGGGGGACGAGGTGTACCACGCCGAGCTGGCCGTGCCCGTGCTCCTGGTCCACGGCATGCACGACAAGTTCGTCCCGGTGGAGGAGGACCAGAGGATGGCCGAGGTACGGGGCGGGGTGAGAGGCTGAGCTCGGCCTCGGAGGTCTTTTGGTGTGGATCCTGTGGGTGGGGCCGGGGGAGGATCGCCCGGGGGAGGATCACCCGGGGGATTCCTCCCAGCACTGACCCTGTGCCACCACCCCCCCTTCCGCAGATCCTGCTGATCGCCTTCCTGAAGGTGATCGACGAGGGCAGCCACATGGTGATGATGGAGTGCCCCGAGACGGTGAACACGCTGCTCCACGAGTTCGTCCTGTGGGAGCCCGAGACGCCAGCTGGGGACGGGCACGGGGAGAAGAAATAAGGCAGCGGGACACGGAGACCGGGCTGCTCCCATGGGAGAGATGTTTCGGAGCGCAGAGGGGTTTGTGAGAGCGGAGGGGCTCCGGGGGCTGCCCTCGTCGGGAGCGCAGCCCGTTTGGTTTCCCGGCCGTGCCGGAGGTTGCAGGGGGAGCAGGGAGGCTCCCCCAGGGCAGGGAGTGCAGGGCCGGCAGCGGGAACACGGCAGACCTGGTCCCCAACCCCGCGGGGACGGCGCCGGAGCGTCTTCATCCTGTTCCTTTGTAGTGTTATTTTCCTCACGCAGCGACACCTCCGGGGATGGTCCCACCCGCGGCACAACGGGAAGGACTCGCAGGGGCTCCAGGAGGGCCGGAGGACCTGAGCTGGGATTGCTTTGAAGGGGAAGCCAAAGGCTCTTCGGCCTCAGCGGCAGGATTTGCCTCTCGAGCCACCCGGGAGGATGGGACGGCCACGTCCCGGCTTCGAGGGCTCCTCGTGGACGGCAGCAGCTCCTGCACGGAGGATGAGGAGGTGTCCTGCCCCCGTGGGCACGGCCAGGACCGCGGTGGGACCGGCCTGGC